CGGATGTGCCGATTCTGTTCCTTAAAGCAAGAAACACGTTTGTGTATCGTAAATTAATGTTAACTCTTAATGTGCCAGCGTAACAATTATCTGGGAAACTACATACTTAGCCCAGAATAAGTGAAAATATTCACCGCCAAGTAACTCCTTCAATTCATTGAATATAAAATTAATATGGCTTATTCTAATAGACTAAGGGCATACTATAGTATAAGTTATCACAATAGATCTTACTGGTCGCAGTGATAGTGGAATTTGAATAGAATCATTATGATTCTAATATGCTCTATTACATTCTATTCTATGGCAAATATCCTCTTATGAGGCAATCTATGGAAAGACCTATGTAAAGCAGTGGACTTCTGATATGATGTAACCATTATAACAAGATAAACAATAATAATAATAATCATCATCATCATCATTACAGCCCTACAAGTCCACTGCTGAACATAGGCCTCCCACAAGTAATGCCACAAAGCACGGTCCTCAGCCACCTGCATCCATCGACTTCCTGCATATCTTACCAGGTCGTCACTCCATCTAGTGGGGGGGTTGCCCTACACTACGCCTACCGGTACGAGGCTGCCACTCGAGAATCTTTCTTCCCCATCGGTTATCGGTTCTTCGAGCTATATGGCCGGCCCATTGCCGCTCTAGCTTACTAATCCATTGGGCTATGTCGGTCACTCTGGTTTTACTGCGGATATCCTCATTTCTGAGTCTATCACGCAGAGAAACTCCGAGCATAGCCCTTTCCATAGCTCGCTGAGCGACCTTGAGCGTCTTCATACGGCCAGCAGTGAAGAACCACGTCTCAGATCCGTAAGTCATCACTGGCAACACGCACTGGTTGTACAAACTAGTTTTCAGAGATTGAGGTATACTTGACGAGAAGATGTGTCGTAATTTCCCGAACGCTGCCCAGCCGAGTTGAATCCGTTGATTGACCTCTCGGTCGAAGTTGGACTTACCTAGTCGGACTATTTGTCCCAGGTAAACATACTCGTCATCAACTTCGAGCATAGTGCTCCCAACAACTACCGGCATAGGTGTGACATGGACATTAAACATGATCTTTGTTTTGTCCATGTTCATCTTAATACCTATCCGTTGGGAGACACTATCGAGGTCATTGAGCATAGTGTTTTGATCCTCCAGCGATTCTGCCATAAGGACGATATCGTCGGCAAATCGAAGGTGAGTGATGTACTCGCCATTGATGTTAATACCGTATCCTTTCCAGTCCAGTAGCTTGAAAACGTCTTCCAATGCAGCGGTGAAGAGTTTCGGGGATATAACGTCACCCTGTCTTACACCTTCTCTGCAGTTGGATAGGTTTCGAACTCTGGTTCTGTACTCGGATAGCCATCGTAGTCCTACTGTTCAAACACTTCAGCACTTCGATATACCGACAGTCAACTTGGCACCGCTGAAGGGACTGTAGCACCGCCCAAATTTCGACGGAATCAAAGGCTTTCTCATAGTCCAAGTAATAACAATAACGCAAAAAAAGACCTATGTTAATTGACATTATTTCTCTGTCGACTCTGTGCATGTTTTTATTGATTTGCTTATTGTTGTGTACTCTGCAAGAAGACAGGAAAACCGATTTTACTTAACGCTTATAGTCTTAATTGGAAAACTTTTTCCCTTTCTTTTTAAAGAAAACTCCGCGCACTTTTGAAACAATTAATTAAGAAAATTCGTAGCTTTTAAAATTACAATAGTCCCAAAAGTAGCTGTCAACATATTTTAAGTTGTCAATTTCTTAAAGCCTTCTTTAACGTCCCATTACGGAAATTACAATGTCGTTTTTAAACTAGCTACAGATAAATACGTCATCAATCTGAACTTGAATCTGAACTGAATAATAAATTTAAAATTAAGGTATCTACACAATACAATAAAATTAAACTGTTTTCCGACCAAATAAAAGTGAATGATTTGAAAATAGAGAATATACGAGTACTCAACACGTCCAGTGTTTGTTTAATTAGAAAATCTGGAGAGTCATCGTCTCTTCTGGGATAACAAAACAAAACAACACAAATGCAGCGCAGCTGACTAATTGAGCCCTCTTAAAATTAAATAATAATACCTTTTTATTTAATATAGATTACAAGAATACGTATTGATAGCTATTTAAGCTTTAACACTGGTTCGAAAAAACCTCGGATCTGAGAACAATAAGCAATACTTTTTAGACTTTTAGACGAATTATGTGCCCAGCACTAGGAACGTATATAAACTGTTATTTTACTTTTTACTTTTGAGTTATCGATGTGATATTATGTACTCAATCTGCTTAATTTCTGTAGCTACCGCCGTTTCAATTTCATATTGTGCAAGCAATCTAATCTCCATATTTAAGGCTGTAAATCTAACTTATTAGTTCTTAATTACAATTTTAAATATTAATTAAAAGTTTTTGCCGAAATGGATATTAAAGAGAAACTACTACACTATATGGTAAGTAGCTAATGTAATCCACGGACATTATCACTTTTCAGGACAACGAACATATTAAAATGTTTACGAGCCTGATATACTACTGGTTTTCTTATATTCCCAGCTATAATACTATAGCCATATTCATCGCTGCTTTTCGGCAGAAGTAGACACAAAGATGGTGCCTATCTGAAGTAGAAAAAATGTTAAATTTAATACTATATTCGGTAGATTTTGAAACAACCGCGTTCTTTTAGACACTAAATATCATATAGATATTAAATAATATACAGATATTAAATACCCAGACTGGCTACAGAAAGTAACGTTAAAGTGGCTTGACGCCGACTTTACAGTCACGATCCGCCTGCCAAGCGCATCTGTTATAGCAATTATGCTGTATGTGTCAACAAAAAAGTATCAACGCATCTGTAGCTTTCTTCCTTTATGTAGCTTTCAAGTATTTATGGGCTGAACTAGCCTCTCGCCATCAGGTTTATAAATTGCAAAAATTACATTCAGGTGGCCCAATACCGCGCTATGTGGCAGTCTTTATATGAGGTATATGTACTATGTATGAGTTAAAAAAGAAAAATTATATCAATCAATAAAATTATAGCCAATATAAATATAATGTATGTTTTTTTATGTTTCCGTTTACTTTATTGTGCAAGTAGAGACACATGTTGTTTATAAAAAGTTTCAGATGTTTTCTGAAATATTTTTTATTATATGATATTTTCAACATGAAATAAAAGTTATTAAACTTTTTTTTATTTTTAATGCTACTCCTTATATTGTGAAATGAAAATTTTAAAAATCAAATTAATTTTCCGCTGATTAATGTTTTCAGTTTATTAATTTGAATAAGCCCATGAACATTTGAACAAGCTCTATGGCTCCTTTGTCTCACTTATTCTAAAATAAAATATTTTTGTGTTTATTTCATTGTATAAATATCCTTTAAATTGATTAGTTGTTTTTACATTATTTTATACGCTAGCGTGATTTTAAGCCATTTGCACCCATAGACTACCTGTAAGTTAATGAATAAAGTGCTGATTAACTAGATTTTTTGTTATAAAATTGGAGTAAAAAACAAACTTACAATCCCCTGATTTTAAATCGCTACTGCAAATCATGGACACGTTATACCAACATCAAACAAAGTAGGCTATAAATACGTTTCCACCTCTGAAAAATAAGATGGAATGTTGTGAAATGTGAATATTCATGCCAAGCAGATTTGAATATTTTTTTTAAAGTAGGGGACTTTAAAAAATAATCAAATCTGCTCGCTGATCAAATATCGAATAATACTTTTTTCCCTATTATTCAAAGTAAATAAGCACCTTCATCATTTTGGGACATAACTGATCTCTTCAAATAATGTCTTTCCTCGGAAACATAAAAAGGTGAATGAATGCCCATATATTCTTACAAAATGCAAATGGCAGTTTTATTTTTAAATAAATATAAACCTAGCATTGGCTAAGAGAATCCATTACTCATCCTCTACGGAGCCCATATACCTTATGAAACCGTTTAATTATGCTTATAACATAAACTTCGGAGTAATAAAAGTAAGTTAAAATAGTAATTAAACGCGATAAAATTCGTAAATATTAGTTTTATTCAATATGCTTATAATTTATCGTTTTATTACCTACATATATTGTATTACTTTTCGGAACGATGTCTAGCACCAAACTTCGTTCATGTCCTTTACAAAAGTCTGAATTTTTTTTGCTTTTATTACTATATGGGCGGTTTTATAATAGTTTTTATGGTGACAAAATGACGCCAAAAAATTTGTCATGATATTGGGGGTTTCTTACTTCAGATTGACTCTATAATATTTAAATTTTGTCATAATAACAAAAAATAAGAGAAAATGCGGTAGAACTTGACAAAATTGCAATTTGAATGGACAATGACCTGATATCTTCTTCCGCTGCGTTACACATTAAGTACTCCCGTCTATAAGTAAATTAAAAGAAAAGTACAATTAACAATCGTTATTTATTAAAGAAACTAAATATATTATTTTAAATTCTCTCAAAAATTTCTAAAACATTATTCAAACATAAAAAGAAACATAATTTTCTATCTTGTGAGTTACACTATGATTAAATTAACATAATAAAGTTTTGTTTATTTGGCAAAAAACGAGATCTAAATTAAAACATAAATAAGTAATTAAATATAAGTATCGAGAAGGTTAATATTAATTAAATATATGAGATCTTTATTTAACAATAAAAACATTAAATAACGTAAGTTGCCTCAACAGGGGACTGTCACTCAGCGGAAGTGTATGGAAAAATTTAGGCATAGTTTACAATAAACACTTTATGTACCATAAAAAAGAAAGAGAAAACGAAATTATCAAAGGTCTACTCACCAAAACAAATATCACAAATAAAATCGTTGTAACAATCTTTGGGTATAATCCAACTATCGCAAGTAAAACAAACAAAATTTTACACGCAATACATTTTTTCATTAATAGCAATGATGTTCGAATTTTACATTTATCTTTATCTTTTTCATATCTTTTGTGCTTTAATTTCCCACTTCTCTTCATGAATGCAATTTCGCTTTCTATTGGTTATTTTATGTTTGCTGTCGTCGACATTGACATCTGTCTCGTCCAAAACTTCTAGATTATCACATATTTCTTCAAAATTATTTAAATCAAATAACAAATCTTTATGTAAAGGAATTATAATTGAATCAAATGGCGCACCACTGATCTCGTATCCTTTGTCTTGTTCCTTTTTTTTCCGATCCTATTAACTCACCACTGACTTCTTTGCCTATTTTTTCTTTATCCTTTTCTCTACATTTATATGTTGCATAATAAATTTCTTCTACTCTCTCTTGTTTTCCCTTTTCCTGTCCATTGTCGCTAACCATTTCTACTTCTATAATGTCTTCCTCTTCCCCACAATTTGTAGGAATTTTATGTGTTTGTTTGGACGAGACAGATACAACTTTTTTTGAACTAAGGATTGGCATTGCATGAATTGCAGCTGGTGTATTGTAAATTTATTAGTACGATTAGAGCAAATCGGTTCAGTTTTTTGCATTGGTTTTCCGTAGGTATGAGTAAATAAGCCAAAGCAATCACACAATCCTCTGTGGAAGCCACAAAAACAAGATAGTGGGCGATATTGAATTTCTCCAGGTGATTTAACAATAACTTGGTGTGTCTGCATAGTGCCTGTTAAAGGCTTCAAGTCTTCAGGAACCAGTTTATTTATGTTGTCTATATCATTGTCAATTATATAAAGACATTTCACTGCATTTCATTCATTTTGACAATATCTTCACAGCTTGCTCACCACAGGAAACATCATTACTATAAGCTACCTGTTTGCTCAGGGACCTCTTCACTGCACCACCTATTCCATCTGCTACTGATTTTCCATGTCCACTCTCGGTGAATGACCATGTTGAGTACTCAAGGCCTAGTTTAAAGGTAAATAAATTGTGTAAAAAAATTCTTTTGCCTGTACTGAGTACACGGACCATCTGAGTAAAAGTAAATAACCTTAAGTAAAGGATTGTACTCTTTGGCTAACTTTATGACTGGCAAATGATGAGCCCATATAGATGCTGGATCATGGGCGTTTTTATCAGCAATACTGCAGAATGATTGTGAAACTCCAGGCCAGTAAATCATCCCTGTATGTAGGGTAAATTGTTATTTCGCGGCATCGAAATGCATAGATTGTACTTCCACGGCTAGTTTACCACAGTAATTTTCTGAGAATTCACAGAGTAGTACGGCTTTATTTTCTTTGAGTTCGGTTATACTCTTTCGGTATTGGTGTTGCTGATGTTTTCAATTGTAATAATGTTTTTTGAAAATCGGTATATTACATTTAAAATTCTGAATTAATGTTTCCACGGTCCCTGTTTTTTTTACTTTCGCCATTCGTTTTGTTTTTACAGTTTTATTATTTTCCTTTTTAGTGTCTATATATTCATGATTTATGTTCTCCCACTTTTCCCATTCTATTTCTTCAGATACCTGTCTGTCTTTTAAATCGTACTGCAATTCTTGTACTTTACATGTACCACATTCACCATACATACATTTTTTTGATTTAATATCACACGTGAAATGAGTCAAAAGACTTTCTAGTACTTTAAATTTTGACAATACTCCAAGTCTTTTTAGTGCAGAGAACATTTTTTCAAAATTGCTATGTTTGATAAGGATGCATGTATCTCTTTTCTGTACAGTAGGCGATAAAACATAAAAAGGTCGATATTTATAAAATGTGGCAAACGATTTTGTTTCACCCTCTGCTTGATAAATCTGATATAGATTAAATAGCGTATCGGTAAGATATCTAATCTGTTCATTTTGTTTTTTCAATGTGCGGCACTCTTTTTCCCAGACGTACTTTTGCTTATATCATGTCTCAAGAAAAAACTTCGTATTTCTTAGCATATTTCATTTTCTTTTGTTTCTTTAACTGCTTTTCGTGCTATTCCCTTTAAACCTAATAGTTTAGAAACAAATGTCTTCTTTTTTAATTTCTTTGTGGCTGCATTTTCAGTTAATGATTTAAAAACATTCCTTTCTTCGTATTTCTTACACTTTTCGTATGACGTTTTCAAACAACTCTCTAACAGCTCATCTCTAGCTTTCATTTTACTAATAGTTTCTTCTAGACTTTGAACTTTCTTATTTGTTTCTTTTTTATAGCAATATAGGCGTTTTCTTGACGTCTCAAGTGCTGTTTTCAAATTTTGAATTATTTATGGCGGCATTATATTTACGGGCTAATCTATTTCTTAACGTCCTCTTCTTATTTCGAGTATTCACAGTAGATGATATTATATTTTTTCATTTTTACCCTGAGTTTTATTTTTCTTCTGCTTCCGTTTCTGCTCTCTCCATTTTTTCCGCCTTTTTTCTTTCTCATATTCTGTTAGCTCAAATATCTTCTTAGTTTTATTTTTTACTCTTGCTTCATGTTTTTTCTTGACTTTTCCGTATTTTTGTGGATCTGCTTTCATACTTCTCTCTATATTTTTTCATGCGTTCCGCAGGAGTGAGAACCATTTTGACACCTAATAAACCAATATAAATGATTAAATTCTACTGATATAATAAATATAATAAATGCGAGAGTATGGTTGTTTGTTCGTTACTCAATCACGCTGAAATTGTTGAAAGACAAAGTCGCAGTTCGCCGCTTGTTTAATATAAAATTCAAATTACTGTCTAGCGATCGCCTGCCGATCGATGTCCATTAAAGTACGTACATAATACAAAAATTACATTACGAATAAGTATTACTTAATCTTTCAGCTTTAAAACAAACATAGCAACTTCGCGTGTGTAGAAACAATTTAATAAAAAAAACATATAGCTTGAAGCCTCGGCTGGTGCGCAGGCTTTATAAAAAGATGCAGAACAAAATTACGTTCAAATATAATTGATATGAAATTGTTTTACTAGGTACTTAATAAAACTCAGTGTAAATGACGGCTTACGTTCCACTGAGTTACGAAAACCTATCCACTAAGTGAATGTTTCTCAGCTGACGTAATGGATTTTAAGTTAAGGCTGATTTTTTTAAAAAAATTCGTCAAAAGACAAGTCTAATTCAGTCAAACTGTTGCAATATTATCAAATAGTAAATTATACGTCTAATAAATACTCTTTCAAACAGTGAAACAAGCGTACTTACTATGGAATCTTTGTAAATCAGCTGAATTTTTAACACGCCCTAAGTTCTAACGATGTTACATTCGAACTGTGAAATCAAAATGGCTGACTTATTGTGAACCAACCATTGTAGGGTTGCTACTTTATGATAATAATACTATTGTAGTAGATTTAGATACTCTCCTGGAAATATAAGCGTAAATCAGCGGAATTTTCCACCATGCCCAACTTTTAAACCATTCACTAAACTGTTTATTTCATTATATTTTAAAATATTGATTAAAACTTCATTCATTAAAATGCAAAATAAGCTTCTGTTTCTTGTAATGACACCATAAATGTAAAAATATCGTGATTCTAATTGAAACAGCGAGGAAAAATGTCTGACATGAACAAGATGGGACAGTAATAAAAAATAGAAATTGTCAAACCAATTTTAATTTTTTTCTCATAATTTATGGTAAAATTATAATATAAATAGTAATTTAGAATGCCTGATATTCCAATTTCTTTAAGAAATAAGATTTAACGCTCTCTAGCGGTATTCAATTTTAGGTAGGAAAAAATTAACTATAGTGGACAACGTGATATTGCCCACTACAAACAAATAAAAAAATGCCCATATATACAAATCCCTTGTCCAAAAACGACAAAGTCTGATAAATAAAGCTACTGGTTGAAAACAATATTCTTTAAACATATTCAAACACGGTTTATTTAAACATATGCAATAATATTACGGTATCTAAATATTAATATGGTATAGAAAATATAACTTTCTTTTTATATTTTTATCGCAAAAAGGAATATATAAATATATAAAGTTACGAAAAATGTGAGAGTGGCATACTTACATTTTTCATTTCAAAGGCTTCGTGCGAAATGGACTCATTTGTATGTCTTATTATATGGAAAACATATTTTATATTTTCTTTAGCGACGATATGAGTAATCATTACAATTAATGTATGTGTAAGTATAGGGAAGTATTACACATTACTTATAATAAATAATTAAACGATTATACCTTAAGTTCTATCATATTTATACAAGGCGCTTCGTTCAAAGAGATTTAGTAACACAAGCATATTAAACGCAGGTAGTATCACGTTTAGGATTCACCCCTCGCACTATACTAGATGAGAACCTAAAAATTTAAAACTCCCCCCTTTCCCCTTCTTCCTCCGGTCACAAGAGTGCGGAAACTTCACTTCGCGTACCAATCATAAATTCTGCCCTCGATATGTCATTAAGTTTAAAGATGAACACAAAAATTTTGATATTTCCTGAATAATTGAGTACCAGAAGGATGGACATTGAAAGAAGCACCTCTTATAATTAACTTCACTTAATGTAAGTTCGTTTAATAATTAATTATACTTCGTGCTTTGTCTTTGAGATTAGTCACTGGAACTTATAAAACACATGTAGATATTTAGAGCGAGAAAAGGAAATATTAAAAGCCATATAAGGAGGGTAAAACTATTCTGTACTAACTGGCCATCAAAGATGTAATAAATACATGCTCAGCGTTATTTCTACTGTCCATTATAAATTTATTAGCTAACTATTGTATAGAAATAGTACAAAAAGGGAAAAATTTAAGCAAAAGTTTGCTTCGTTTACCCTGAAAATCTATTAAGTTAACACAAATCAAATAATATAACTTTCACCCACAGGGGGTGGTCATTTTAGAAATTTGACACGTCTAGAAGACATTTTTGACAATAAATAGTTTTAAAATTTATATGAAACTCACACATTAAACTTATGCTTTTATGTTATCTTTTTGAATTATATCTAATTATAAAGTCGAAATGTCGTATTTTGGCCACAAAATAACTGTGATGTAATGTAAGATAAAGTACCATCACGAGTAGCCATGATAAAGTTTATGTAATCATAAAGTAAAACAATTACTCAAAATTTTATTATTTTGTAAAGGACTTGATTAGTGACGAACGACGCTTGTGACACTTATCATCATTGTTTAAGATATTCTTATTATAAAATTTGTTAAAGGTACACAGCACTGTTCCATTTGGCCGTATTACCAACGTTCAAAATAAAATGTAAATATCGACATATCAAAACCCAAACAATTTATTGTATATCTGTATTAGCTTAACATTTGCGTAGAGACTGGCCACTATGCCTCCTTATACATAGATAAATAAATATGAAGTAAACTATTCTTAAACGTCAAGAATAAGATTATGTCGACGAAATTAGGAGTTTTTTTTTCACATAGGTATTTTAGACTTTGAGATGGATAAATTGCGGATTTATTATTGAAATTAAATATGACTTGTACGGGCTGGGTCTAATT